GTTGGGTGCTGGGCCCTGCATCCAGGTACTGACCCACATGGCTGGGTGCTGAGCCCCATGGATGGGTGCCGAACCCCCTGGCTGGCTGCTGAACCCCATGGGCAGGCACCGGACACCGCCCCCCCGCCCCCTCAGCCCAGCTGTGCTGGTGCTTTCCCTGCCATCCGGCCGGCTTGGCACAGCACCCGCAGCCGGTTTGATGCTGAGCAGAGGTGTTTGATCTCGGGGCGTAAATGGCTGCGGGGCCGTTCGCACAGGCTGGCGCTTCGGAGGTTAGCCTTGGTGCCAGCGAGCCGGAGGAGCCCCTGGCCCCATTGCCAGGGTGAGGGGCTGGGGCTGCAGTCGGTCTGAGGGGGACCCCCTGCCACTGCCCTTCCATCTGCAGAGCATCCCCTGACAGGATGGAGCTGAGCAACCCCTGCCCTCCATCTGGGACAGAGCTGAGCATCCCCTACCCTCTGTCCTGGGGGGATATGTGGTGCAAGGGAGCCCGACAAGCCCTGTTGCCCACCCCAGTCAGGGACGCCCCTGAGCAGCCCCAGCTCCAGGTGCTTCTCCCTGCGCCAGGGCAGCCCCGGCACCATGCCAGCACCCTTCTCTGGGGCGAGGGGTACACGTGGCAGCGGTGGTGTCAGGGCCACGTAAGGGGCATTGGGGGACATTCTGCTCCTGCCGCACACAAGTGAAAGCGGGATGCACGGGTCCGGGGAAGCTCTTTTCATCTTGGCCGGACTCACTCCCAGCTACGGCAGTGGCACCCGAGCGCGGCTGTCCCTTCGTGGGGTGACGACGAAAGCAAAGCCAGGGCCTCCCCGCCACGGGCACCCCATCAAAGGGAGCAGCAGGGGCCACGCGCCGCTGAGCCACCCACGTGCGTCGATGGGGCCCGGCTACGTCGGCCCTGTTTACTTTGGGGCAGGGATGACATTTCGGGTGGCTCATGGCGTGCCTCGCCACCCACCCCTCCCCGCCTGCCCGGGGATAAAATTCCCTGGGGCTGCTGCCCAGCTCCCCAGAGGGTCCGAGCCAGCGCCCGCTGCCGTGCCGAGCTCCTGGGGGGACACAGGTGAGTCCCTGCAGCCACATCGCGTGGAGGGGGGGCTGCACTCCCACAATGGGGGTGCCCTGACTGCAGGGCATCCCCTGCCCCAGCCTGCAGCCACAGCAGCCCAGGAGCCCCTGCACCCCTGTACCCTGCATCCCTGTGCCCCTGCCCACTGCATCCCTCACCCCTGCACCCTGCATCCTGCAACCCTTTATGCCTGCATCCTGCAACCCTTTATGCCTGCACCCTGCATCCTTGCACCTAACACTCTGCACCCCTCGCCCCTCCATCCCAGTAAGCCTGCACCCTGCACCCCACACCTCTGCAACCTGATTCCCTGCATCCACACGCTCTGTACCCCTGCATCTGTGCACCCTGGACCTTGCACCCTGCACTCCACAGCTTGCACCCCTGGACCCTGCAAGCCCTGCACCCCAGCACCTCACTCCCCTCCCTCCTGATGCTATCTCACTGCTGCTCCCCTGCGCACTGCTCAACCACCCTGACCCCCTCCCCAGCTGCACCCTATGGGCTCCCCTACACCCACTGCTGCAACCACAACATGACCAGGTTGGGGGAGGGTCCCTATGTACCCCTGTTGAGCCCCCTGCCCGGCGCTCCTGCTGCCAGGCTCAGCCTGGCAGCAGGAGGGCCGGGCAGGGGTCTTGGGGTCTTGGGCACCCATAGAGTGGGGGGGCTCAGCAGGGAGCTGAGCACCCCTCGTCCTGCCACCGTCCCTCCCCAGGGAAGGGACAGATGATGGGACTGACGAGGACGCTGAGTCTTGGCCTGCTGGGCTGCCTGCTGCTTGTCCCCTGGCTGCACGGTGAGTGCCAGTGGGGGGGGGACACACCGCGGTGCTCCCTGCTCTTCCCTGTTGCCTGACCCCCTGCCTTTCCCGCAGGGCAGGAGCCGGCTGCCTGTGCCTGGGGCTGGGTGCCCTTTGAGGATGGGTGCTACGGCTTCTTCCCCCGGGAGCTGAGCTGGAGAAGGGCAGAGGTGAAGGGATCGGGGGGGCTGCGGGGATGTGGCTTTGGGGGTGACCCCCGCATGGGACACCCAATCCACCCCCATGGCCACAGTGCCCCGTGGTGTTCGGCAGGGAGCTGGGCTTTGCTGGTCCCCTGCCAGGGCCGTGTATCGGGATGCCGGTGCCACCCGGCATGGGGATGCTCCCCTCTGAGGACGTCCTGGCCCCGTGTGGGACTGGCTGCCGTCACAGTGGCACCACAGCCACCCTGTGCCAGGCACCGCGTGCGCCCATGTGCCCACAGCACCACTCCTGCCATCCTCATCCTTAGTGGAGCCAGGGATCTGGGACCAGGGGTTGAGGTTGGGGCCAGGAATTGAGGTTGGGGACCAAAGGTTGGGGTCAGGGACCAGGGGCTGGGGTTGGGATCCAGCATCACTCTCCCATCCCTGCCACAGGCCTTTTGCCAGCGCTTTGGCATGGGCACCCACCTGGCTTCGGTGCACAGCGTGGAGGAGCACCGCGCCATCATCAGCCTGCTCTCCTCCTCCCACTCCAGTGAGGACAGTGAGGAGGAGGAGGACTGGGACGACGGCATCTGGATCGGCCTCCACCGTCCCCTGGGGGTGCGTGTGGCCCCGGGGCAGAGCCAGGACCCTTCTGGGACCCCTGAGACCCACTCCCGGCAGCCCCCAAGTGGGGCTGGTGGCACCAACCAGGGGTCACGGAGTCATTCCTCCCTGCAGAGCCGCCACTGGCAGTGGTCAGACAGTTCGGAGGTGAACTACGGGTCCTGGCACCGGCAGCCCGGCCCCAGGAGGAGAGCCTGTGCCGCGTTGCAGGATGCCGCCGGTGAGCATGGCCCCACTGGTGGCACCGGGTCCCTGGCCACCATGTCCCCAGCCACCAGCATCCCTGGCCATCAGCATCCCTGGCCACAAGTGTCCCTGGCCACCAGCATCCCCAGGCCACCCACAGCACAGGCTGACCCCCATGGTGCTTGCCAGCTCGTGGCTGGGGCAGCCCTCGGTGGGCAGCTAACACCTGGGTGCACACGCACACATGGACGTGTGCGCGCACAGGCACACGCATGTTGTGCAAGCAGAAACACACATACGTATGCATACACACACATATACGCACACATACACGTATATGCACACATACACATGCACCCTGTGCGTGCTGTGGACATGTACAGGCACATGCTGTGCACACGCATGCACACACATGCACACATACCCCTGCCAGGTATACACGTGCACACTGCCCACATCCACACTGCATGCACAACACTTGCACCCACACTCACTCCACGCGCACATGCAGAGTGCGTGCGCCCCGGGCTGCGCTCCTGGCAGCAGGACTGCAGGGTGGCCATGCTGCAGGGGCCGGGGGGGGGATTCCAGGGGGCTGACGGCCTCTTTCTCTTCCAGATTTCATGATGTGGTACAGCGACACCTGCGCCGACAGAAAACCCTTCATCTGCAAGTCCAGCGCCTAGAGCTGCGGGCAGCCCCCCAGCACCGGCCCCGCTGCTCCTCCTGCTTGCCACCCTTGCCTGCTGCCCCTGCCCACCGCCCCTGCCTGCCACGGCGCGGCCCGGCCACGGGCCACAGTAAAGGTCCCTGGAGCCCAGCTTGCTCTGCGCATGCTTCATCCTGTGCACCCGGGGTCTCGCCGCCCGGATTGGGATCCCACGCTGCCCCACAGCGCCGTGGGGCTGGGGACGGAGGGACCCAGTCAGGACCTGGCGTGCACAGGGTGTTGTGGTCACCCAGCCGCTGACCACCATGGGGTGCCGGGATGGGGACCGGGACCGGGACAGGGATGGGAATGGCTCCAGGCAGCGAAAATTTCTGCCAGAGGAACAGCCGGGGCTGGCAGAGTGAACACTGCAGCGCACCCCATGGGACCCCCGTAGCCCCCACGGGACCCCCACTGCCTCTGGGAGACCCCCATCACCCCAGTGGGGCTCCTGTAGTCCCAGACGGATCCTGTGGCCCATGTGGGACCCCTGTGATGCCCAACAGTCCCCCATGGCCTTAGGGAGAGCCTGTGACTCACATGGGACCCCCATGGACCCAAAAGGATCCCCATGGTCCCAGTGGGATCCCCCCTGGCTCTTGTGGAACCCCCCCTGGCTCTTGTGGAACCCCTATGGCCCCCCTAGGACCCCTATGGTCCCCATGGGACCCCCATGGCCTATGTGGGACCCTCATTGCCCCCAGCAACTCCCCCCCCAACCCCACAGAACCCCTATGGCTCTGCAGGACCCCCACGCCCCAGGACCAGCCTCTCCTATGATGACTCCTGCAGTGGGGCAGCCCCATGCCCGTGGCTGCCTCCCCACACCATCCCCGTTCCCACGTCCCCATCCAGGGCTGCCCAGCGCAGTTTGTTGTGCGGGTGCCATAGTAACTGGGGGAGGAGAGCCCGGCCAGGGCTCAGCACTGCTCAGGGTAAGGGATCTCAGCCCCACCAGGACCCCCAGGGCTGGGGGTGCATCTCTGGAGTCCCAGGGGCTGCATCCACGGGGTGCTGGGGGCTGCATCCCTGGGGTATTGGGGGCTGTATATACAGGGTGCTGGGGGCTGTATCCATGGGGTGCTGCGGGTGCATCACAGGGTGCTGGGGGTTGTATCTGGAGGGGACTGAGGGGCTGCATCCCTGGGGTGCTGGGTGGGCTTCACCCCTGGGGTGCTGGGGTTTCTTCCCTGGGACCGTCAGGGCTGTCATCCCCAGGGTGATGATCGGGGAGGTCCTGGGGGGTGCGGAGCCCCGGAGCTCCCCAGCCATTGTGACGGCGGTGCCACCAGGCTGCCACCGTGTTGCCGGCTGCTTGCCCATGGATGGCCACTGGTGCCCGGGCTGCGGACCCTCATCTCCCTCCGAGGGGACCCCGTGGCTGGCACCAGAGGGCGGCAGGGCCAGGGTGGCGGGGTCGGGGCTGAGGGGCTGCGCTCGCTCCCGGCAGGGCCCGCCATGTCGGCCAACGCCTGGGTGGGCAGCTGGAGACCCCACCGACCCCGGGGTCCCATTGCGGCTCTCTACAGCAGCCCCGGGCCCAAGTATGGGCTCCCCACCAACGTCGGTGAGTCGGGGCCATGGGGGTCCGGGCGCTGCTGCCGTGCCGGCGGGGTGCCGGGAGCCGGACGGCTGGGGGACCGGGGGTCCTGCAGCCCACCGAGCCCCCCGTCTGCCCAGGCTACCGTCTGCATGACCCCTCCCGCGGCCGCGCACCCGCCTACAGCTTCGGGGTGCGCACGGGGGGGCGGCAGGAAGACCGCTCCCCTGGGCCGGTGTACCTGCTGCCCCCTGGGACCACCGCCAAGGGCAAGGACGGGACCCCCGCTTTCTCCATCTACAGCCGCCCCCGCGACCTGCCACCCATCCACACCCCCGGGCCAGGTGAGGGTGGGGGCCGGGAGCCCAGGGGGGGGCGGCAGGGCTGGGGACCCCCCCAGCCGTGCCCATGGCCCAGCTGCCCTGCTCCCCCCCAGGGTGCTACTCCCCAGAGCGGGCTGGCAGGTTGGCTTTCCCCTCTGCACCCGCCTGCTCCCTCCGCTCCCGCACCAGGCAGGGCATCATCTACCAGACGCCAGGTAGGAGAGACAGGGGCTGGGCTGGGCCCCCCATCATCCCCCCTGGCCCGGGTTGGGCGCCCCATTATCTCCCC